GTGAACTGACTTTCTTTTCTGTGCTGCAGTCACACCTTCCAGTGAATATATGTCACTGGTCTCTGCCAGAAAGCACCTGTGGTCCTAGTACAGCATTTTTTAAAAGTATTTAGTATGCTTGTTATTAAAATTGTCTCCGAGTTCTACAAATTTATAATTATGTGTCATTCAGGCCATTGAGGATAATTATATATATATATTTAATATATTTGTATTATATATTTGTTGGTGGATTATACATTTTAGGGTTCGGTTGTTTGTTTTTTTTCTCATTATTAAAGCACCCCTTTTTCAACTTGGGCCAAAAAAAAAAAAAATTGGTAGTTTATGCCTTTAAAGAAGCACTAACATTTTCAAGCAAAAATCCACCTTGACTAAATAAGTCCAAGTATGGGGCTTGGTCTGACTTCATGCACAATCCCTGAGAGGGACTGTCACGCTATTTCCCCACACTCTTCCCATTATCCAGAGCTTTCCCAGTCTCATGCTGACCAGCTATATTGGCTGCTGGGGGAAAATGTAGTCACAATTCTAGTTTCATCTCCACAGACTCACACAAAATTTGGTAAAGGGAGCAACAATACAGTTTCTTTTGAACTATTTATGGCATTCCACATGCACTGCAGAAGAAAGCAGAAAAAAGGAAATGAAATGAAGATATGGATATAGGTAGAGTTTCAACCTGTATTTTCACACGATGTAACTGAAAACAAAATCTCTTCCATTTAATTGCCCTCTCCCACTAAAACTGCTGGATATATTAACAGACTTTGCTTTCAGACTTTGCCACTTAGCAGTATATAAACAGATCTATAGCTGGTTCTAATTGATTCATTCTACCTGTTCCAGAGACCATGCTTGAAATTTTATAAAATATAATTCCAGCAGTTTGCAGCAGATCTATTGAAAGGGACCGTAGATTTCTGATTCCCATTTGTATTGAAAATCAGTAACTAGCTGGCATAAGACAAGAGAAAGAGATTTGTTATTAAAATGGAAGGTCAGGAACCCATATATTAAGGTTACATTTCTAGGTCGATTCTAAGAGCCTATGGGTCCAAGTATATCATTTTATATTTACGCACCTAGCTATCTTTGTAAAATGAAGTATTTCATTTGCAGAAGGCTGGCAAAGGTAAGGTACCATTTAGAAAGGGCCTGAAGCTTTCAGATGGAAGGGCAATCTGGTATCACCAGACTAACACTTAGTATCTATTATGTTCAACAGAAACAAAGAAAATTGGGAGCTATTGGGAACAAAGACTTAGAATAAAGCAATTAGTCATGGCCAGTTCAGTTACCCTGATTCCCTTCCCTTTTTGAAGTCTGTATTGCAAACTGGACGGAGTAAGTAGAGAACTTAGAGTGGCGGTGTGCCCATCCCAACCTGACCTTTATTTCCTATAACCCTACTCACGCAATAACCACCAGTGGCAGTGGTAATGGATGTGTCTGGTAACAATGGCTGTATCCAACCCAAAGTGGATTCAGGAGAGATAGATAAGGATTGCTTTTTCCGAGCTCAAGATCAGAGCATCCCGACACGTAGGAAGTCAAGGAAGAGGGCCAAGAGACCTGCGTGGCTAAATAGGGAATTGCTGGGTATGCTCAAGTGGAAGAGGAGAGTTTACAGGTCATGGAAGGAGGGGCTGGCCACTTGGGAGGAATATAAGGTTGCTGCTAGAGGATGTAGGAAGGCAGCTAGGATGACTAAGGCCTCCTTAGAATTAAAACTGTCGAGAAGGGTCAAGGACAGCAAAAAGAGCTTTTTCAAATACATGGCAGATAAAACTAACACCAGAGGCAATGTAGGCCCACTGATGAACGGGATGGGTGCCCTGGTGACAGAAGATACAGAGATGGCAGAGTTACTGAATGCCTTCTTTGTCTCTGTCAACTCTGCTGCAGGCAGTCCTGACGAGCCCTGTACCCCTGAGACCTTAGATGAAGTCAGGTCAACGGAGCGGTTTGCCTTAGTCGATGAGGAATGGGTTAGAGACCAGTCGAGCAATCTGGACATCCATAAATCCATGGGTCCAGATGGGATGCACCCGCGGGTGCTGAGGGAACTGGCGGAAGTCATTGCTAGACCACTCTCCATCATCTTTACCAAGTCTTGGGAAACGGGAGAGGTGCCTGAGGACTGGAGGAAAGCAAACGTCACTTCAGTCTTCAAAAAGGGCAAGAAGGAGGACCCAGGTAACTATAGACCGGTCAGCCTCACCTCCATCCCTGGGAAAGTGATGGAACACCTTATCCTTGGTGCCATCTTAAGGCATATCAAGGATAAGAGGGTTATGAGGGGCAGTCAACATGGCTTCACCAGGGGGAAATCATGTTTGACCAATCTCTTAGCCTTTTATGAGGAAATAATACGGTGGATGGATTATGGCAGAGCGGTGGATGTGGTCTACCTTGACTTCAGCAAAGCATTTGACACAGTCTCCCACAGCATCCTCACAGCTAAATTGAGGAAGTGTGGTCTGGATGATCAGGTAGTGAGGTGGACTGCGAACTGGCTGAAGGAGAGAAGCCAGAGAGTTGTAGTCTATGGGGCGGAGTCTAGTTGGAGGCCTGTAACTAGTGGAGTGCCTCAAGGGTCAGTACTGGGACCAGTATTATTTAATATATTCATCAATGATTTAGATGAGGGAATTGAGTGTACTATCAGCAAGTTTGCTGATGACACTAAGCTGGGAGGAGTGGCTGACACGCCAGAAGGCTGTGCTGCCATCCAGCGAGACCTGGACATGCTGGAGAGTTGGGCAGGGAATAACTGGATGAAATATAACAAGGGAAAGTGTAGAGTCCTGCATCTGGGCAGGAACAACCCCAGGTTCCAGTATAGGCTGGGGAACGACCTGTTAGAGAGCAGTGTAGGGGAGAGGGACCTGGGGGTCCTAGTGGACGACAGGATGACCATGAGCCAACACTGTGCCCTTGTGGCCAAGAAGGCCAATGGCATCCTGGGGTGTATTAGAAGGGGGGTGGTTAGTAGGTCGAGAGAGGTCCTCCTTCCCCTCTACTCTGCCCTGGTGAGACCGCATCTGGAATATTGTGTCCAGTTCTGGGCCCCTCAGTTCAAGAAGGCCAGGGACCTGCTGGAGAGAGTCCAGCGCAGGGCAACGAAGATGATTAAGGGAGTGGAGCATCTCCCTTATGAGGAAAGACTGAAGGAGCTGGGTCTCTATAGTTTGGAGAAGAGGAGACTGAGGGGTGACCTTATTAGTGTATATAAATATATAAAGGGGGAGTGTCACGAGGACGGAGCCAGGCCCTACTCAGTGGCAAACAATGATAGGACAAGGGGTAATGGGTACAAACTGGAACACAAGAGGTTCCACTTAAACTTGAGAAGAAACTTCTCAGTGAAGGTGACAGAACACTGGAACAGGCTGCCCAGGGAGGTTGTGGAGTCTCCTTCCCTGGAGACATTCAAAACCCTCCTGGACACATTCCTGTGAAACATTATCTAGGTGTTCCTGCTCCAGCAGGGGGATTGGACTAGATGATCTTTTGAGGTCCCTTCCAATCTCTAGCATACTGTGATACTGTGATAACAATAGCCAAGGGCTAACCTGAGCAACGTCTGTGCTCCCCCCCCCCCCCGTCAAGGTATGACTCAAGACAAGTTTGAAAAAAACCTCTAATTTCTGTAGCCAGTATGCAAATGTCACTATGAGTCAATTACCTTCCTGCATAGTGAGCAGCCCCGGCCTTGTTGGGCTTCTCTGCATGGCAGTGGACTGCATGTCAGGATCTCCCCATGAGTAGGAAACCCCTCAAGGTTGAGAGATTCCCTGCCACAAAAGATTCTCATTAATAGCATGATAAACTTTGAAACCTTAGCTAGGTGTTAAAAAGGATTGACTGCACATATGTAATCTTTTAGACATGAACACTGGCCAAGTCTGGATCCAACTGCACCTAGACTCCTCTCTGAGAAGTTTAGAAAGCAAATGTTTCCTTTCTGAACCTTGTGACATAAAGGGAGGGTCTCCCTGACAGCTTTGTCTGACCCTGCCCTTTATGCAGTAAATACTCAAATGTACCTTGCCACTGAATATTGTTAAACCACTGTTGCATTTACTATCAAACTTTCTTGAATTGCTATTTTATATCAAAAAACATATTGCTACTTTTATGAGTTAAGTGTATCACCCCATCTGCAACACTAAAATATGATGTTATAATTTAAGACACTGGACATACAGTTAATGTTGCACAGACAACCATAAATCTGGCATTTTTAGCCTTAAAATACCTGACTTTGCAACTTAAGTAATTATTTTAATGAACTTCATTGCTCTAGCTAAGAAGTAGGCTGTTAATGCAAACAAGCACCACTTTGAAGTGGTAAGAAATATAAATAACTTAATATTTAAGTTTTACCTGTTTCCAAGCTTATATTTTCATAGTTAATTTGTCAGTCATTCTATGGACACATGTGCTAATCCCACAGCCCCGTGCCATGAGGGTCTGGATACATTTGTCTGAAATTGCTTCTGAATTTAGAGGATATTGCTGAGCCCAGAGAGATTCCCAGTCCCTTGGTCAAACTAGCAATTACCAATAAGATAAAAGAGAATATAAAAACTCTTTTCCTCCCCCATGTGCTGCCTTTGCATCACCCCTGACTACTTCTTCCCTAGAAGCTGTCCTTGAACACCTCTCCTGGCATCAACATCTTATACTACACCCCAGCCATTAGCACCTGGAAAAGTCCCTGAGACTTAACTTAATTCTTATTTGAACTAAACAATGTTTTTCTGTGAAAGAACACTTGCTATCTAGAAAAGCAGGGAGATCTAAACCTTCTACTGGCTCATTATTTCCTACATGACATTATCATCAAGGGGGAAGGAAGGCTGTGTAGTTCAGATGAGATGCCCAGTTTCACCTGTGTAACACCCTCACTATCAGTGTATTTGCACAGCTGTGTCTTAGCAAATGGGTCTAATGATGATGAGAGATAATGAAAGAAGTTTTCTTCACGGTACTGGCTGAGTAAACCTCACAAGCACTCTGCTAACAGAGTAAAAAAACATTCAAAGCTGTCTCTTGCCACACTAGTCAGTGAGTATTATTCTCTGAGTGCAACCATGTTGAGAAGGAAGAGCTTATTCTTACACAGATGCTTTTTCATCTACAAATGCATTTTAAGGTAGGGGTATGTATTTTAAAGTGAGAATACGGAGAACAGTCAGAGAAGAAAGAAATGCAGCATGTGCTAGAATGAAACCAACAATGGTAAAAAAGCCAGGGCTATGATGAAATACTTTCATCAGCATGGATATCCAGCTTCAGCATACCCTTCACAAAGCCTTGAGGGCTGACCCAGACCCTCCTGAAATGAATAGCAGATTTTCACACAGAACACTTCTATCCTGACTTGACCGCAAGTATTTATACGTTTCTTGCAAGAGATGCAGTATTTTTGTATCTACTGACAATCAGCCACTGTCAACACCCAGTCTATGGCTGGCTGACTGCTTTTCTATTGCATTTGTAAAATATGTAGAACTAACTAGGCTGTGATTTGCTGCTTCCACTTATCTATTTATTCTTGTGGCAGTGCTGTAAGACTTATATCAGACAAAAAACAGTGTAGGATCCTTCCTAACAGTGTTTTTTTCACCAGGTCTCTTCAATACAATACTGCAGCTGAGCTACCTGGGGTCCAAAAGAATGTATACATAGGATTGCCTCTGGAGGTCTCCAAAATGGGCTGTACCCAGCCTTGTTTTTGGTTTCACTCTCAGATGTTAAAATCAGCATTTCAGCTTCTTTTTCTAGTCACAGCAGCCAGACAGGCATCCCTCCTGAGACAGCAGGAGTGAGTGGTAGAAAGCCTTTTTAACTTATGTTGGCATTATATATATTCTTCCTCAAGTTAAATGTAGGAAAAAGCTGCAGAAATGGCTGGAAAAGCATAGCTGCACTGAGCAGACAGATTGACCTTCATTTTACACAGTCATGCTCCAAGTCCAGTCCAGCCCAGCATGGCTGCATCTCCCTAGAAAAGTCACCACAGTGTCAATAAAAATATCACTGGAGTTCCAAATTGTACTGTGCAATTTTATAGTGCACCTAAAGCAGATACACAGATAACATACAATGTGTAGCTCAGTTCATAGCTACATCAGTAGTTAGCACAGAGTTTCTTCTCCTAAAATGAGCATATTTTAAAATCTCTAGAAATGAAGAGCTAGAGCAGGATCACACTGAGAAACAGTATTTAGGCATTTAAAAAATAAAAAAGTTTTGGTTAAAAAAAAATTGATTCAATACTAAAAGGAACTAATTTTTCTGCAATTATGAACATGATATTTGCAAAAATGTATAGTCTTTTTTTCAAGAGAAGCATTTGATATGTGCCAAAATTTCCATGCCAGTAGAGACAGCATTTCATGTGTCATTTCAAGGACTTCATTTTGGGATTTTCAGCTTGTGACACTTTAATAAAGCTTACTCCTTTTCAGGGCAAATATTGCTGATAGGTGGAAGCTTATCAGTCAAAGCACCAACTAGCTCCTTTCTTTGGAAAGCAAGAGTCAAGTTACAGGCCAGGTTGGATGGGGCTTTGAGCAATGTGGTCTTGTGGAAGGTGTACCTGCCCAGGGATCATTAAGGTCCCTTCCAACCCAAACCACTCTATGATTCTATGCAAATGGCTGCAACAGTTACCCCACTCTAACAGAATGTTTGATTTCTTACAAAAGAAAAAAGACTTGAAATTATGAAAATCCACTATCTATGATGAGGTATATGAAGGGTGGTGGCACAGTACGGGAAGAGGTGCACATCTGCTGTTTCTCATGCTGAGGCACAGTAGGAACATTCCAACACCTTCCACTCAATGCACTCTGCCATGCATTAAAAGTCTATGGGGGAACTCAGACTGCCTCTGCAGTCTCTTTAGGGTCTGTGTATTTTTCATTTCTTAGACAAAAAATTACTTCTTAAGCTTGTTTCTGTAAATACAGCCAACTCTAGACTTAATTTGAGAAATTAAGTGTCTTTTTTCTTATTTAGAAAGGAATACAGATGCAAGATAAATATGAAGCCAGAGGATGCTCTTATTTACAATGTCCTGGTTAAGGCTGGTTTCTATGGCAGCAGAAAAGATTTTTGCTTTTTCCCACAGACACACCCCTCAGAGGAACTATTCAGCTATTGAATTTAGGAAGATTTGCTTAGCTTATTCAAAGTATTTTTTTCTTCTTTGGTGACATGCCAAAAGTGATAAGAGATCAGTTACTTATATGCCACTTTAAACATTTCCTTCAATGTATCTGCAACTGCATTTTCTTACTGCTATTCTGTATTCCAAAAGAAACATTTATAAATACAGCAAGGGCATTTGATTATTCAGCACCAGCTGAGGTCAGAAAATCATGCTGATTAATGATATTAAGCTGAGGAGTGTCACAAAATTAATTACAACTTTACATCAGACCTACACAAGCAAGCAGCTCTAGGTTCACAAGAATGACATTAGGTTTTGGATAAACAGCTATACAACTGAAGATAATTTCTCCTATTAAAAGTAGATGAATTTACAATTTCTATTTTTATATCTGATAGCAAAAGCTATAATCACAAACTCATTGTGCATCTATGGAAAGTTCTATGTTTGAGTCAGCTAAAATGTTGCAGAACAAAGGAATGCAGTCCATTTTAATTTACCACTTCACAGCCACACAGTTGGCAAGTTCAAAGACTCAGAGACTGTAGTCTCTTTACATTGCTTGTGGAAAACTCTAAAACAGCACAATATGTAGATCCAGGATAAAAAAAAAAACATTTAGCCTGGCATTCAACAGTGGTGAACAATTACAATGGCATATTTAGGATATCAGCTCAGGATTATTTAGCTGTTAGGCACTTGAAGATTGATCTTATTTCCATTGAGGTCAACAATTACACTTCTGTTCACATCCATTGTAGAGATTTGATACTTTCACCAAATAGTTTTCCCATTGCTTGATAACTAGCTTCCCAGCACCTGAGGTATGTCTACAAAATTAACATGTAGTCAAACCTGTGCTCAGTCTGAACTACTACTGTGTTTTGGTTTAAGTCTGCATAATCCCTTGATGTATGTTGAGGAAAGCTGGATGCCTCATGTCTCTTGGCACAAATCCAGATATATCAATATCCAGCATGGACTGGACATTTAACCTGGCTGCTACCACATACCTGACTTGTTCTTCAGCAGTGTCTCATTGCTGGGATCAAGAAGACATCATCTATTAGGTCTTTTCTGGGATCCTTTTGTTTGCACATGAGCAAATACTGCAAGGACTCCTTTCTGCACTCCAAGCAAGTGCATGCTATAGGCAAGAATTTACATACACAGCATATGCACAGCTCTACTTTTACCTTCCTCTCAGGTGCTAGCATGGTAGACTCTTTTAAGAGAGAAGCAACTTTGATGCAGTGAAGATTACCTGTGCAGGTCCGTTCCACTCTTTGTAGGACCTCTTCCATTTTCTCTGTGACACCAGACTACCTTCTGGAACATAACAAGTAAATAAAACCCATATGATTTCTTTGGTATTTCTGGAAGGATTCAGTTACAGAATCAGTTATCATTAGCATGACCTTGACTCAAATAACATTGTTTTATGGAATTTGCATTGTATTCATAATTCCTTGCAATCCTGACCTTATAACCTTCAATGCTGATGTCACAAATATTTACACAGATACGCAGTTTCTGAGCTAATCCAGTTTTGCTCAAAACACAAAATCACACATATGGAATACAGTTCAGCTATCTAAATATTTGTGTAAACAAATGCTGCTTAATTTGGAGCACTACTTTTACTTCACTACTTTACTTAACACTTAGAATTTCCTTTTTCTTCCAGGATGCCATACTGTTCAAATATACTCCATGTTTGTTTCAGGAACCCAGCACAGAGCAGGAGGGGTTTAGTCTGGATCCTGCCACATCTTCTTTCACTGACCTGAATGTGAGCTGCATTGAGGCTGATAGCATTTTCCACTGAGAAATTCCAGTGGACAAACAGTTTTGCTTCATTGTTGTCTGAAGACTTTCAGTTCTGCAACTGCTTCAGTGCAAGACTCTCCAGGTACAGAGAAGAGTGGTGCCTCACCCCCATTGACTGAAGTATGAATTATCCTTCATTCCTTTACAAATCTTTCTCTTCTCTCTCTCAGATGGAAACTGTCCAATTTCTACTGGAGGGAGGAGAAAAAAGCAGCAAAGTGTAAAGTAATTGCCTTTTTCCCTATCTAGTGAACACCGTCCCAAAGATGTTCTCCTCAAGTCAGATGAAAATGAATAATATATTTTAATATCACTGTAGGCTAACTTTGACCTTTAAATATTAATATTTAAATATTAATGAACTAGCAGGAGGACAGCAGACTGACAGGTGTAATACAAGTCAGACAAAATAGCACAGTAAATTTATATGCTGCGTTGAAATTCTCATTAGTGATAATGAGATATGCACTTATAATCCATGATCTGAAAATGGACTCCAGAAAATCCAGGTAGAACAAATGATCAGAAAATTTTGCTAAGGGTAATTATTCTTAGTTTATAATTTTGGGGGCAATTTTGTGAGAGAGGAAAAGTCAGACACCTGTACTTATGCATGTAAGTGGACCTTTTTCTTTAAATTGGGCCCTTATTGGATTTGTTTCCTAAAATATTTTACCCAAGGGTTTATTTCCATTCCAACAGTACAGGAAAATCTTAATCTTTACACAGTTCTTCATATTAGCTTACTAGTCTGTTCTTTATTAATCAAAGTGTATTTCTAACACTCCCTGACTACTGTTTATACCACTAAAGCTGTCTAAGAATAGTAGAAAATAACATGGTGAAATTATAAACATTTTCCCATTAAGTGCAATATAACAAGAGACATAATCTTGAAGTAGGATCTGTGCTTCTTTCAGCACCTTCACTGCAACATAAAAAGGCAAAAGCACAGAAGTCATGTAGAGACACTGGGAGCTTTCAAATCATTCGCTTAAATCAGATGTGAAAATCTACAGATGGTTTTGAAAACATGACTCAAAGAATCTGTCTTTAATCCAGTGATAACAAGACATTAATAATGAAGGAGAGCTAACAGATCCACAGCTGCTGCCTCATAGGTCTGTGTCTTTGCTGAAGCTGCACTGTTTAATAGAAAGAAAATATGATTTTGGAATTATGCAATCAAAAAATTATTTAAAATTAGGGTTTTTTATCCTTTTATAAGATAGGGAACTACCTGGAAGGTGTAGAGCTGTAAAAGGTGTAGAAGTGTAGAAATGTGTGGTGGAGGTGAGGTTTAAGTTCCCTGAAAGAAGTAAATATTCTACACTAAAATCAATCTGTCTAGGGAATTCAATTTGTTATATCTCTTAGTGTCTCTCAGCATCACCTGCAGGGCCAGACTTATTCGATGTTTTATCTTTTTCTGTCAGAAAAAAGAAAAAGTGACTAACACTAATTCTATGGCACAGCACACATGACTTTACTTTTGCAGATGAATTCCTATCCTGAACAATCAGACTCCAGAGAAAGTATCAAAGAAACCAACAGATAGCTGTACATCAGCCAATGTGGGAGTACTGCAAGACCATGAATGTAGAATACACTTGAAAATGCTGTTTTCACAGGGTGTGTATGCTCTGAGGAGACCGAGATCTGTGTATGTCCTAAATATGACCTGCCAGCATAGCATGTTTTATTTTAAATAACACCTGTACCACCTACTCTATCCTGAGCTTCCAACATAGCCCTTACAACACTTATGTCCCTACCACCTTACCTGCATTATGAACAACTCCATGGCTCAACACACAGTTCAACAAAGTCCCCTGACAGCTCCTTACTCTCCCTAATCATTTCTGCTGATTTCATTGTGCTGTAATCCTGTAACAGGCTCATGAAATCAAGGGAGAACAACTGAGGGAGCTGAGGCATGGCATCTAGCTTATCCCAGACACTTCAGTGCCCAAACCTGTGTGAAATACGGGCCTGGATGAGGCAGCCTTTAACCACAGGGAACATGACTGATCTTATGACAAAGACATCTCTCCTGCTCCAAGTAAGCACCACCCATCAGCAGAGATGCTTATTGTCCTTCTGACATAAGATGATCAACCAGGAGCCATTAATTTCAGGATGTAAAAGGGCTTTGAGAATATTCAAGCTTTTCTTTGAGGTGACTGAAATCTAACATGTGCTTAGATGTGAGACATTCTATTTTGGCATTATCAAGGGGTTGTCCCACTATCGTTGTCAGGGTCAGTAAGGGAATGAGCTCTTTTAGAAGAGTGTGGTCAGGAGACTCCGGGGTATAGCAGAACCAAATCTTTAAGTTGAAGTCAACACTTATTTTTAAATTAAAGTTTAGTTCTATGGCACTTGAAAAAAACATTTTAACAACAGAAATTTTGCTCTCCATTTGGTATCTAGACAGAAGACATTTTTTGAATGTTTACACCTGCTGGGGGCTTAGGGCTTAGGGCCTAAAAAGTCACAAAGAGATCTGCTGCATTCATCAAAACCTGCTGCACATTTGTAAAACATATGTATTTCTTACGCTCCAGGTGTCCATGTGCATCATTGCTTTATTTTGTTTGAAATGTACAAATCAGCTCAGGATTTGCTTGTTTGTTTGTCTGTTTGGCATTTTGCCATCTAAATCTCTTGATTTTCTTGTTTTCTTTTTTGAAATGACATAATTATAGATTAGTGCATTTTGCCATTCAAGATTGAAGCAATTCAGGCTTCAGTTAAAGCCCTAAATTGCCCTTTTACATACTTACATACAGTAAGTACATTTGTTCTCTGCCTGGAGAGATATAGTACACTGATTACCTCTACTGTTTTCCTGCCTACTTTGTTTTTGGTTACCTTCATTCCTTATGTAAATGATTGGGAAAAGGTAAAACAAACTATTAATCCAAAGGATGGGCATTATATAGAAGTAATGTCATTTTGAGCCTAAAATAAAAGAAAAACCCTTTCCATTTCACTCAGTCTTACTTAGAAAGCCCACTTTTTTTTTCACTCTATTTCCATGAGAATGTTTTAAGCTTCCAGAGTATGGGGGAGTGTAGAAATTAGACTGTACCTATGGCTGAACACAGTTTCATTCACTAAATGCTTCCTTCCTTTACTAATGTGTATCCTCTAATAAGGCTCTATTAATGCCCTTCAAGAAAATTCCAATATCTGATACGCTGTTGCATGCTTGGTAAATGTGTTTTACCATTATGCAAGTAAAAACAGAACATCTCTCTTTGCATGACTCAATGATTTAATAATTATTAATAAGATATTATGCCTTTAAACATTTTGGCAGATGATTAGGTGGAAGCTATATGTTTAACATAGCTTTTAGAGGCTTATATTATGATGCTGCATAGCAACTGAAACTTCATATACACAGCTAAGGCAAATGATATTATAGTTATCTGGGAATTGTTTCTGAGATTTTCTGAAGCAGACAAAATAACAAACTTTGGATGATATATTCAATGTCCTTTGTATATCAGGCAGTTTCACCAAATCAAGGAGTTTTGCATTCTCAATGTATCCATATTGCAAATCTATACTGGATACTCTTTACCATATACACAATTCTCACCTGCAGAATCCTGGCATGCAAATCCAACAATATTTACCTCCTGCTAGATGGGAACAGCTCATCATCCTGCACAAAGTTAAATACAGACCTCTGATGTGAGAACCAGTCATCTGCAGAATGTCTACAAGCATGAATGCTCAGGAAAACAGTGGCAAGACATTGAGTAACATGCATCAAACTGAACATGGTGAGCTGCAGAAGAAAGGTTGACAATCTTTATGCACAAACATGACAGGGTGGTCTGTCATCACTAACTTAAAAAACCAAAATCCTTTAGTTTATAATGCTGACAAATCTGATGACTGAGAATATAGCTGGACACTTGGAAGAGGCTCTGACTTGCGGAGGCTCTGAGTTGTCCAAGAATGGTGACAGATACGTTAAGAAACTAACAGAGAGACAGTCTAAGGTCATACAGTCTCTGGATTACTAGATTTTTACTTAATAAACATGTGAATGAATTATGTTTTGTTTCTAAGGTAGTTTTCTCTGAAATAGCCTGCCTTCAGATGAAGTACACAGTCTTAGGAAGGTTGGCTAGTCATTGGCTTTTCCAATGACCAGGGAAGAGAGAACTATAGTTCAGGTATGTTGAAACAGACAGGTAAGAAAATTGCACTAAAGCTAATCCAAAGACTGGGAAGACCACCAATTTTTCCTGGATTTCTGTGATTGTTCAAGATATGACACCTGAAAGAAAAGGCTCTGGAAGATACCAGAGGCGTTAAGCATGCAACCGCTTGCTGTGCCAACAAGAGGAGAAATGCATCTCTTCTTTAATTTTAACATCTTCCCTATTCTGGGGCACAAGTACAGAAATTGTGATCGCCAGTAGAAGTGTGATCGATTAAGAAAGACTGCCATCTCCTGGTTTCTTTAAAAACAGTCATCCTTGGAAAAAAGTTGGTTTAGTTAAAGCTTACGGTTGATCATAAAGTCATACTTGCTCTGAACCTTTAAGGGAAAATGTCACTGATAATAAAGGACAGGCAAGCAAAGCTGGAAAGGCTAATGCATTATGACTACACTATATAGGTTAAGCCAACATGTGCAATAATTATAACTATCACAGCTTGACACAGTTTATAAAGTCTTGAACTGAAATAGCTCAAAGACAAGCTACTAAGCATTCTCATATGGAGAAAGAGGGAACTGTCCAAGCTTGCAGTTTCAATCAGAAAAAGCAATATTACATAACAGACTAAGTATTAACCATTCTCATTCTTAAGAATATTTAAACTCCTTTAAATGGCAATCTAAACAGGACTGAGAAGTAAGAGTAGCTTACACTGGTTTTAAGGACATGCAGAAATATATAAATTAGAAAAGCAGTGTAAAACTATGGATGTAGGAGCACACTAATAATGTCAGGCAAGTGAGGGGTGAGCAGCTGCCACTGCATCCTTATATAAGCTTTGAGACTTTCAGGTAAATGTATGAAAATGAATGAGACTGGAGAAAACTCAGAAAAATATTGCACTCTGTTCTCCACTGTCTTTTTTCATTAACAGGATAAGAAACATAGGGCTACTATTCAAACACATAAAATCTGACTTCAAATTTCAGGAACCAGCTTTGAAACAACAACAAAACCCAAACAAAACTCAAAACATAAATGTCACAATAGAATTGAATTAGAAATACTCGGAAGGTGCTTTTTATGGTGAAATGATGTGCCATGGTAAATAAAAGAATTCATGTGATGGATAACTGAAAAAAATGTAACCTCAAACCTTCATTCTCTTCCCTCATCAACCCTTCAACTAATGGCATTTTTGTGTTAGAGCTCTCTCACAGCTAGGGTGACATCTTGTGTTCATTCCATCCACAGATCCATCTCCATCCAGCTGCCATTCACCCCGAATGTCCAAAGCTCTATCCCTCCACTTCAAATTTTATCTCAAAAAAGCTGCCAACAATTCTAGGTGACCCTATATATTTCATTTACTGTCTCAGATGTCATACTCTCTTTGAGTTTAATTGTGACTTTATATTATTTGAACAGAGCTATTTCAAATGAAGGCATGTAAATGATAAGCCATATAAAGACACACTCCTGAAAAGGACACAGTAGTATATTTAGTAGGATTCTTTAAATTAATGAGGGTGCCATAAAAGGAAAGCCTTTTATGCCTGAGAAAACTATTATTTTAAAGATTATGAACCTGTCAGTTAGTTACAAGCTAGCTGCTACACCTGCAGTTTGATTAACCTCTTAACTAATCACTTGATTCAACTTGCAGCCTCTGCAGTATTTTGAAAAACTTTCACTAAGTTTTTTTAAAAAAACATGAAAATATTAAAAAATAGATCTTAGTATGTAAAGAAATACTATTGTGAATTTAAATTCTATCTCAATAAAAATGACTGTATCTTACTATCATGCAAAACAGGGTGTTTGTCAACTCTTACAAGGGATGGTGAAACAGTTGAAACAAACATCTGTAAGCAGCCTCTTGAAATAGAACACAAAATGTTTGATTATTATTTCACCCAATTCAGAAAAGTAGATTCAGAGTTTCTAAAAAATATTTTGTAAGTTTAAATTAAAAATGCCAGAAACAACTTGTTCTGCGTTGCTAAAATAAAATAAAAAGAATCTAAAATACTCATCTGTGTGGCATGCATGCTTTTACACTACAGTTATCCTCATGGTACTCTCCTGCCTGCCAGCAGTACATTACAAATTGTGCACTACTCTTGTACTATGTATTATTTGTTCTCTCATTGCCTCTGTGAGGATGAAAATGGGCATAGCACCTTGTTTTCTATAGGATTTTATTGTTTGCAGTGTGTAGGCGTCAAATAGACAATTATTATATTTCTCTTGGAAATGCCAAAGTTTCTTTACAAAAACAGCTATATAGTTGTAACAGGAAGTTCCACTGTGACAAACGAAAGGGAGGTAAACTTCCCCTCTGCTCAGCACTGGTGAGACACATGTGGAGTAGTGTGTCCAGCTCTAGGCTCCCCAGTATAAGGACGTGGATATTCCAGAGCAAGTTCAGCAAACGGCCACAAAAATGGTAAAGTGATTGGAGCATCTGGCATACAAGGAGAAACTAAGAAAGCTCAGACTGTTCAGCCTGGAGAAGAGAAGGTTCAATGTGTATCAATACCTGGAGGGAGGGAGTAAAGAAGATGGAGTCTTCTGTGAGCCTCCATACTTGGAAACACTCAAAACTTGAGTGGACCTGCCGTAGCTCACCCTGCTTGAGCACGGGAATTGGGCTAGGCAATCTCCAGATGTGCCTTGCAACCTCAGTGACTCTGTGATTCTGTGATTGCACGGTATGCTTCATTTCAAAGAGATTTAAGCAATATTTTGGATAAACTGGGCCCTAGAGATGACATATTTTGGAGATGAGGACCAAAATACTGACCTTGGCACAAACTTCTGTGGAAAGCAATTCATAATTCCTCTTATTGCAGGGAAGAACTACAGCATTTCATACTATATGGCATTTCCTAAATACTGAGGATTTTTTTTTAATCATAAACATCACATAATCCAGCTATAGTTACATAGATGGTAATGAATACTGATAAACAGGTACTATCTGTAAATTGCTAGCCTCTGAGTCCAGCTGCCAGTGTGGTTGTATTCCATTGCTAGAAAAGGACATAAGGAAATAGATTTTTGTGGGTTTCCAGCCATTAAGTGGGGTAGGCATGCAGCTGATCATCACTGACTGTTGAACGCATCACTTTAGGAAGAGCTCAGAATAGTACAGTAATCTGAACTCCTGCCATCCAGCTCATATGACACACAAAGATTTCATGATCAACCATGCTAAGCTCTTCAGAGAGGTCTAAAAGAGTGGGGTAAATGGATAAATGAGAAATTTCCTAAAAAAAAACCACAAATTCCATATGCTACACAAAGCGATGATGATGCCATTTATAACTAGGACAATACCTCCAGATGACAAAAGGGAGACATTATTTGAAAGCAGCATTAAACAAAAAGTAAAAAAAAAATTAAAAATAAAAATAAAAATCCCCTGTGATTATGATAGGCTAGCTTGCTTTTTTCAAAAACAGATATCTTACCTTGTCTTAAGGCCATACTTAAATACCCTCACAGATTCAATGATATGCAATGATACCCTATGGAGGTATGATTTGCACCAGCAATTTCTAACCCCCATTAACAATAACATGCTCTATAAATTGAGTCATTTATTCTCTATGTGATATATCTGTATCTACACTGTGTACATCAGTTCAGGTGTGGGTAACTTTTCTCTGCTAAAGTCCAGATTTCAGAACCATATGTGTCAGTCAAACTGGAAAATTGATTATTTCATAGAATCATAGGATGATTAGGGTTGGAAAGGACCTAGTTTTAACACCCTGCCATGAGCAGGGACACATCACACTAGACCACTTCTGCAGATACCTTTGTATCCATCACTTGCATATTTACAGATTTTTTTTCTTATGGAAGTTAGACACATTTGAAAAAAAGTGGCACCTGACACTAGAGTTTAAATGAAGTCCCTATCCATAACTTACTACTATCTGACAGATAAATTTGATCTAACAGGGAAAATAATAATCTGTTAAAAATGAAAAGTCAGATCTGAAAGTTTTTCCCGTGTGTGGCTGTAGGCAATAAAAGCTCTAGTTTTCTAGTTCAAAACTTTCAGCTTGATGGTGCAGGGGTTCATAAATGACATTGGTGGCTTTTCATGTTCAATGTAGACATCAAAAAAACATTTTTTCAGAGATTCTGTTTTCTGAAAATAGTACTTGTCTGTCTTAATTCAGCTCTGCATCACAACTCAAGTATCCAAAATAACTACACGCTTTTGTTTCATGATTTTTTCTGTGTGGGATTTTAATACCTTTTGTATAAATTATCATCATCTACCTGAAATGATACAACTGAAATCAACAACTATTGTTGTGTTACACTGTTAATCAACAGGAGTTAGTTAATGGTAAGTAGAAGGAAAGATTCTGAATTTTGCTTTAATGATGAATTGTCTTTGGAGGTAAAATGCTGATATTAACCTTCAGAGATAAATTCAGAGCGTCTAATATGGACTTATTCTGCTCTATCAAGACTTTGCTAACCCAAAACATACCTTCCTGCACAATCATGTGTAGAAAATTTGAGACATTTTGACAATAATAACCATTTGAGAAAATCCTATTGTTAGTAACAATTGCCTTAGCAATTAAGAATTAATCTATTGGACAGAAATAAGACATGTACTAGAGGGAATTCATATGATACCTAAGAAATGCTATACTTCAGAGAAAAAACATGAGTTAGTGGTTTAAACTATTGTCTAGACCTGTCACAATAAAATTATTACTGTCTTTTTTTTTCTTTTTTTTTTTTTTTCCTAACTTCCTGCAATTTCAGCTGGAAGAAGAAACAAAGACAAAAAGAAAGAAGCTCATAAAACATGTTCGGAAATTTTCAGAGCAGCACACTTCTTTACTAACTCTAAG